TGTAAGTCGTTGAGTAAGAGAGAAGTTTCTAGGGTTTCCCGGATTGGAAAAACAGAAATTTAGCCGCCGTCTTGTTTTGGTGATTGTGGTTGATTCCGGTGTCTGATTGACACGCTGTTTGATCTGCTGGATTCTTCTCTTCAAGAGCTTCAGATTGGTATGTAGATTGTCGTCTGGACCCTCGTGGTTAGAGAGATACGGCGTTTTGAAGTTGCTGCAGGGATTAGGGTTTCTGCAGCCGCCAAGAGAGAGAGAGAGAGCTACGGATTTTTGTGCTAGGGTAGAGCTCGTGCTGATAACGTGTTGTGGAATAAAGATGGTTGTTGTAACTCTGTGTGTATGTTCTTATTAATCTCGTGGTACATATATATATACATCCTTAAGCTTAGAGATAAACATAAACCTAAGCTGATAAGGATTACAACAATAAAGGGGATGATTATCCTAATCCTATAATGATTAGGATAACTACAACATATGGATAAATACAAGGGAGGATAATGACAAGTCTTGGCCGCCTAGTCTTGGACTGAAGTGGACTGATGTGGTCTGGTCCATTTCCGGATATGTCCCAACCATCATTTCTCAACATTTGATTATTATTTTTTTTTGGTGTTTTCTTGTTTGGCTTAGTCATGTTAAATCTTTGATAGGCTCGTGAATATTCTTATGAAATTGTTATTCTCTTACTTGGGATTGTACTTGTACTTGTGAAACAGTGTAGTGTTTATTTTTTACTTGGTTACGGAGGATAGTAATACGATGTTAGATAATCCTTGTTCATGATGATGAGTATCCTAATTTAAAACTTAAATCTTTGAAAACAAAAAATGTTAATTTGGAACTTAATCTTCCTAAATAAAATGTTAGGATAACAAGTAAAATATTTTCGAAGGACTTCCTAAAAGTTTAATATTTAATTAAAAAGAAAAATGTTATGATAGCTTCCTGAAAGTTTAATATTCGCTTTAGGAAGGGTTCTTGAAGCTCTTGCATAAGTTTGTTTTTGAACAGAATAAAAAGAGTAAGAAATGTTAGACAATTCTTGTTCAGGATGGCTATGGAACTTAATCTTCCAAAAAAAAAAAAACTTAATCAAAATCTATAAGAAAATTCATTGGCTATAGAAATCACCAAATAGAGTTCACTGTCTACAAAATAGAGAGCACATATCAAACAAAAAATATTAAAATAGGATAGCTTTTGGCACTTTCAGGATGAGTTTCAAAACATAAAATGTGTGTTTTTTTGCATAAGTCTGTTTTCGAAGAGAATCAAAAGCGTGTAAGGAATGTTAGACAATCATTGTTCAGGATGGCCATCCTAAAATGGAATTTAATCTTCCAAAAAAAAAAACATAATCAAAAACATCTATAAGAAAATTCATTGGTTATAGAAATCACCAAATAGAGTTCATTGTCTACAAAATAAAGTTTATCCTGAAGATTAATATATTATCTGGAAGCTCATCCTGAACACGCTCTTGGCTTTCCAAAATTTATAATACTTTATCTTCAATCCGGAAACTCATCCTGAAGACGCTCATGGCTTTCCAAATTTTTGAATACATTATCCTGAAGATTAATATACTAAACTCTAAACCCTAAAACATCAATTTTAAACCCTAAGCCTTAAACCTTAAACTTTAAAGCCTAAACCCTAAAAAATTACCTTAAATCCTAAAACCTAAACCTTCAACCCTAAACTCTAAACCTAAACTCTAAACCCTAAAAAAAATCAACCTTACGCATGTTGATATCTTTGGTAGGCTCGTGAATTTTATTATAACATTGTTAATCTCTTTCTTGTGGTTGTGAAACTTTGTAGTATTTTTAAAATTTCAGGAAAGATTTATGTAATTTCAGGAAAGCTTTCCAAAAAAATTCGATGTTAACAAATTTGATTTTTTGGTTTTTTTTTGGTGTTTTCTTGTTTGGCTTAGTAATGTTATATCTTTGATAGGCTCGTGAATTTTCTTATGAAATTGTTAGACTCTTACTTGTGGTTGTACTTGTGCTTATGAAACAGTGTAATGTTCTTAAAATTTCAGGAAGGATTTGTGTAGTTTCAGGAAAGCTTTCCAAAATATTTGATAATAACAAATTTGAATCTTTTTTTGCTTTGTGTCTTCTTGTTTTGCTTATACATGTTGATATCTTTGGTAGGCTCATGAATTTCCTTATGACATTGTTAGTCTCTTACTTGTGCTTGTGAAATTGTGTAGTTTTTCTAAATTTTCAGGAAGGATTTATGTAGCTTCAGGAAAGCTTTCCAGAAGATTTTGTGTTAACAAATTTATATTGATTCTTGAAAATTTATGTTGATTCTTGAAAATTTTCAGATTTATAAATGTAACAATAAAGCATTGTAACAATGATATTTCTATCCTTCTACTTTTGGGCGGTCGAATGTAACCACATTTGCTCTTCTTAGAATCTTGGGCGGTCGAATGTATCCTGCATCTGTCATGCATGTGAAGAAGCTTTCTATTATTCTCGTTAAGCAGTAGAGTGATATCTATATCCTTCTACTTTTCTTTTCAATTTCCAAGGCAAAACCTGTAGGGAACTGCAAGAAAAGTAACGCTTTATGTACAATATGCTACATAAGTGTATGTTATTGTGAATAGATTTGGTCTGTACCGTTGCTATGGCCACGATTGGTATGCTGCATGTCTCAAAAGTGCGGAAAAGCAGGCAAGTCCAAGCCCTGGTTAAAGCCAATTATAGAGACGGTATAAGTTTTCACATTAAGTGAAACAACACAAAAACAAAACAAAAAATTGATGAAATGCCAAAACCTGAATACTGAAACCTGAATATTTGTTAAATGTGGTATCATTATAAAACATATATGTTATACATGATAGCTTTTGGAACTTTCAGGATGGGTTTCCAAAAAAATAAAATGAGTGTGTTTTCTTGCATAAGTATGTTTTAGAGAGAATCAAAAGCATGTCAGAAATGTTAGACAATCCTTGTTCACGATGGCTATCCTAATTTGAAACTTAATCTTCCCAAAAAAAAACATAATCAAAATCTTTCCTGAATAATTTAGTTGAAACAAAACAACAAATCTTAACTAGTCCGTTCTGAGACATACCTCAATGGCGATTTCAGTTGGTGTAAGATCTGAGACGTTTCTATACTCGAGCTTTGATGTAATATCTGAATAATTTGGAGAAACTAGTCACAATATTTAGAAAGTGCTTCTTCAAAATTTAATATTTAATAAGGAAAAATGTTAGGATAGCATGTATTAACAAGCTTACATATATATCATATTTATGATAGTATGTAAAATATTTAGGAAGAGCTTCCTAAATATGTAATATTTAATTTAAAATAAAATGTTAGGATAAGAAGTAAAATATTTAGGAAGGATTTTCTTAAAATTTTAATATTTAATTAAATTTTGTTTACTTGGTGTCTTCTTGTTTAGCTTAGACATGTTGATATATTTGGTAGGCTCGTGAATTTGCTTATAAAATTGTTAATCTCTTGCTTGTGCTTGTGCTTGTGGAACTTTGTAGTGTTTTTTAAAATTTCAGGAAGGATTTAGGTAGTTTCCGGAAGGATTTATATAGTTTCAGGAAAGCTTTCCAGAAAATCCGATGTTAACAAATTTGAATTTTTTTTTTTGCTTGGTGTCTTCTTGTTTGGCTTAGGCATATTATATCTTTGGTAGGCTCGTGAATTTGCTTATGACATTGTTAGTCTCTTACTTGTGCTTGTGCTTGTGCTTATGAAACTATGTACTATTTTTAAAATTTTAGGAAGGATTTGTGTAGTTTCATGAAAGCTATTCAGATATTCGATGACAACAAATTTGAATTTTTTTTTGCTTTGTGTCTTCTTGTTTGGATAACGCCTATTGATATCTTTGGTAGCCTCTTGAATTTGCTTATGACATTTTTAGAAAATTGCTTGTGCTTGTGAAGCTGTGTAGTGTTTTTAAAGTATCAGGAAGGATTTATGTAGTTTCGGAAAAGCTTTCCAGAAAATCTGATGTTAACAAATTTGAACTTTTTTTTGCTTGGTGTATTCTTGTTTGGCTTAGGCATGTTATATCATTGGTAGGCTCGTGAATTTGCTTATGACATTGTTAATCTCTTGCTCGTGGTTGTGCTTGTGCTTGTGAAACTGTGTATTATTTTTAGAATTTCAGGAAGGATTTGTGTAGTTTCAAGAAAGCTTTCCAGATATTCGATGATAACAAATTTTTTTTTTTTGCTTTGTGTCTTTTTGTTTGGTTTACGTCTGTTGATATCTTTGGTAGCCTCTTGAATTTACTTATGAAATTATTAGACAATTGCTTGTGCTTGTGAAGCTGTATAGTATTTTTAAAATTTTAGAAAATATTTATGTAGTTTCAGAAAAACTTTCCAAAAATTTCAATGTTAACAAATTGTATATTCCTAAATTCAATGTTATCCATAGCAAAGTCCCAGAAAATTCAATATCCCTCAGGTTCTTGTTGATACCAGTCTTACTTGGACTACTTTAAAAGTTTCCTTGGAGTTTCGTGATCCTCCCTAATCTGATCACCAGGTAAATTTTTGCAGCTACTGAACTATCCCATGTTATGAATATGAGTGTGTAGCTTTATACAAGTTCCATGACTGTGTAACAGGGGACCTATCGAAGCTACTGCTCCTCTCTGCTGTTGATGCTTCATCGTAGTTCCTTTGTCTCTACTATCTTTGGTTTTCTTGTTTTGGTTACGCAGTGACAAGTATTGCCTCAGTGTTTTGGACCTCTGTTTGTGTGAACCTTTCCACAATCATATGTTTCTCTTTGTCTCTGTGTAGTTTGTGGCAGTGTTGTAGACGTTTTGGTGTCTTGTTTTGAGTTTTAGTGGTGAAGGAAATGTATCCCTTGTTCCCCATAATTATGATTATCAGAGATCATCGTTTAAATTGGAGATTTTTGACGCATTAATGGATCTGAACATAGAAGTAAACAAGAGAAAAGTTCTAGAAAAACTTTAAACCCAATACCTCAAAACACCCAGATGGGACAAGAATAGGTAGAGTTGTTACAGCAGCAGCAAAGACGGTTTTTGGTGCCATCAAAGAGGATAAAGGCAAAGTTGCCATGGAAATCTTTGACGACTTTGTCAACAGGGTAAGGGCCACGGTCACGTAAAGTCCTGTAAGCCTCAATGACCATGATGGCCTCGTTTGTGACTTTGCTCAATCCATACAGCTGCCTCAGGAAGGGAAGGTTCTCGATGTGTCCTCGGAAGACGCAGAAGATGTCATCCACAGCCGCAAACAATCTGTCAAATCATTCAAAAAAACCCTACAATATTCATATCACCAAATAAAAAAAAAAGAAGCAAAGAGCAATAATCTATCAAATTTGCTTAGTAACATCATAAGCAAATCCAAATATGCAATAACTTAAACATAGTGCTTAGATCTCTTCGAAAAGGAGAGTCTACAGATCAATTTCATCATCAACAAGCTTAGAAACATCAAAAGGAAAGTAAAATATGCAGTACTTAAACAGTGTTTAGATCTCTTCGAAAAAGAGAGTCTACGGATCAATAGCTCAAAAGCATTTCACATTAACAAGCTTAGGAACATCATAAACAGATCCAAATATGCAATAAACTTAAACCAAGTGTTTAGATCTTCTTCAAGAAAAGAGAGTTTAAAGAAACTCTTAGTTCAAGACTCTATCACGAAACTGCTAGAGATGGAAAAAACAGGATCAATTCATTTTAAGTCAAAGACAGGATCTTTGAATCGAATCATACATATATAAGAGATGCTTGACCACCAGCACCACCACGTAGAAAAGCTGAATGAATCAAACCTCCACAAGTACCCTACCAACAGAGAAGACGTCAAATAATCAATCCTAAAATTGTTTTCCAATAAGTGCAGAACAAAGTATAAGAGAGACAAAAGTCACCGCAAACAGAAGACAAAAAAAATATGTGAAATCAGCAGAGCACATTTCGAAGCAAACAACACACCCTTTCTCACCGAATTGCGAAATTCCAAAACTTTTATCGTAAACACACAACTCCAAAACATTACTAGTTATAGTAAAGAGAGCGAAGTTCAGAGTTTCAGACAGAAACTAGACAATTCAAAACAGAGACCGACACTACACGAGTGGTGTTGCGGCGAGAAAACAGAGCAAAAAAAAAAAGAGTAAAGTTAAAAAACGATTTTCGAATCTAACATCAACAACTTTGTCGGCCTCTTAAAAGAAATTCTCACTGTATATAATTCGGAGTAAGGGGAGAGATTTGACGAGATCCACGAAGAGTAAGTCGGAGGGATCGTGTGATGGTGGCGGAAGAATAAGGGGAGAGACGGAGTTTGAGTAGAGGAAGGAAGTGAGATCGGAAAGGGAGAGGGATGCAAAGTGAGAGCCATAGAAGAGGTTAGGATCGAGGTGGAGACTGAATTACCGGAGGAGGAAGCGGCTACGGCGGCGAGGACGGTAATTGAAAATAGAAGAAAAAAAAAGGAGATCATCTCCTTTTTCCAATCTCTATTTTTTAATTACAAATGAGGGTATAAAGGTAAATGATCTCTTTACTAAAACCTATTTTTGTGACTTTTCATCCTGAGTGATAGTTTGGAAACAAAAATTTAGTTTGGTGTTATTTTGGTCTTTACCTTTTTTTAATCACGAGTCAAAAATCTAGTTTTTAATTAATTTATTAACATAGCGCAATCCTATTCGGTTTAGAAGCGTACTCGAATTCTTTGACACCAATAACGAGACATGGGAAATGTCGATTGTTTAGACAGGTGTCCTTAACCCTGCGCCTTGTAATCCAAGATTAATATTGGGGGAATCGGGTGTTCTTTTTTTGCTAAAATTTGGGGAAATCGGGTGTTACACATTTTTTAAGCTAAACCTTGTCGTCCTACCAGATACTTCTTTTGATTTATCTATACTATTATTTGAAAAAATAAAATTGTTAATTTGTCACTTAGCTTACTAGTTTTAGATAATTTAACTTATATATTTTATTTAAAATATATTAATATTTAATAGATAATTAATTAAAATTTTAATATATTATTTATCATAAATTAAAATAAATTTTATTAATTTTTATAATTATCATGATCTAAAATAGTTTATATTTTATTAAATCTTTTTTAACTTTAATGGATTATTAAATTTGTTATTACATAATTAACTTTCTCTATAATTTTATTTGATTTAACTTATATGTCACATTTTAAACATATTACTAATTTAAATGAATAATTAATTAAACTTGTTAATATAATATTAATCATAAACTATAAACGAATGCTATTAATTTTTATAGTTACCATTATCTAAAATAGTTTATATTTTATTAAGTCTTTATCAGTCTTAATCGATTATTAGATTTTTTAATATATAATTAACTATATATTACAAACGATTTTCTTTGATTTAATTATCTGAATTATATAAAAGTAAAATTTTATATATAGATAAGTGTTTCAAATTTATTTATTTTATGCAATAAAATATAAATTATGATAATGAAAAACTTTGTCATATGTAAATAGATTGATATTTTAAATTAAGAAGATTTGCCAAATATGATCTAAAATTTGATTTTAAATACAGATTTATACTCTAACTTCAATCAAATGTAAAAATAAACCAAAAGACTAGTGAAATTACAATCAATTTTTAGAGTAACTCCATTGAAGAGTTTTCACCCAAAAACTCCCAAAATACATATATGTGTATATATATATATTAGTAATACTATTTAATATGGGATTTTTAATTTTACGGAAATCATAAACCTAAATATGTCGTTTAAGAACTTTTGGATTACATTTCCCGTAAAGTGAAGAACTTTACAACTAAATGACACTATTAATATATAATATATACATGTCTATGTATTTTGAAAACTTTTGGGTGAGAAACCCTTAATAAGGATGGTCTTCGGACCAAACAAAAAACCAGTAATGAGTTTTGCAATCATTTATTAAAAATAATTTATAAAATTTATAAAAAAATATTTTGATGTAGAAAAATTAGAATTGTATAATTATAAATATTTATAAATGATGTTAATTGATATTTATTAAATTTTAATTGTTTTCAATATAGAGGCGTGAAAATAGATTGTGTTATGAGAATCTTTGGTTTAGGGTTAGGTGACAAATCTTATAGTAATATTTATATTTTTAGGGTTAGATATTGGAATATTGATAATTTTTAATAGAATTAGGTTTCCTAATCATTAAGTTTTCCAAGAAGTTTTCCAAAAAATGTTTTCTCATGTATTAGATTTTAAAAATGATTTATAAGTTTATAAAAATTATTTTGATAGGGAAAAAAACCTAATCATATAATTATAGACATTCCTAAATGACGTAAATTTAGGTTTACCAAAATTGAATGGTCTTTAACATAGATAAGTAAATGTAGATTGAGTCATGATATTCTTTGGTTTAGAGTTTTGTAACATATGTTATAGTATTGTTTGTATTCTTACGGTAAGATTTTTAAATCATAACTTCAAAAAAAAAGATAATTGATATATATGTATTTAGTTTTGTGTATATTCAACACTTTAAAATTTGATTTTAAGTGTAATGAAGTATTTGTTGTTATTTAGTTAGTTACTTTCTTTTAGGGTTTAGATGATTATTTGAGAAGTTTTTTAACAAATAATGCTTTAAAAAACTTCAATGTAAGTCGCCTGGATGAATTGAACATTTAGGGTCTAAAAGACTTTTTGAAAGACTTTCATGTAATTTCATATTAGGAGATATAGATGAAAATCTTTTGTATCAAACATATTTAACCTAATTAGAATTTTTGTCTTTCTGTATAAAGATAATTTACACATTTTCTTTCTTTCTCTTAAATGGAGGCAACAAAAATTTTGATTTATCTATACTATTATTTGAAAAAATAAACTTGTTAAATTTTCACTTAGCTTACTAGTTTTAGATAATTTAACTTATATATTTTATTTGAAATATAATAATATTTAATAGATAATTAATTAAAATTTTAATATATTATTTATCATAAATTAAAAATAAATTTTATTAATTTTTATAATTATCATGATCTAAAATAGTTTATATTTTATTAAATCTTTATTAACTTTAATGGATTATTAAATTTGTTATTACATAACTAACTTTCTCTATAATTTTAGTTGATTTAACTTATATGTCACATTTTAAACATATTACTAATTTAAATGAATAATTAATTAAACTTGTTAATATAATATTAATCATAAACTAAAAACGAATGCTATTAATTTTTATAGTTACCTTTATCTAAAATAGTTTATATTTTATTAAGTCTTTATCAGTCTTAATCGATTATTAGATTTTTTTAATATATAATTAACTATATATTACAAACGAATTTCTTTGATTTAATTATCTGAATTATATAAAAGTAAAATTTTATATATAGATAAGTGTTTCAAATTTATTTTATGCAATAAAATATAAATTATGATAATGAAAAACTTTTTCATATGTAAATAGATTGATATTTTAAATTAAGAAGATTTGCCAAATATGATCTAAGATTTGATTTTAAATACAGATTTATACTCTAACTTCAATCAAATGTAAAAAGTAAACCAAAAGACTAGTGAAATTACAATAAATTTTTAGAGTAACTCCATTGAGGAGTTTTCACCCAAAAACTCCCAAAATACATATATGTGTATATATATATATTAGTAATACTATTTAATTTGGGATTTTTAATTTTACGGAAATCATAAACCTAAATATGTCGTTTAAGAACTTTTGGATTACATTTCCCGTAAAGTGAAGAACTTTACAACTAAATAACACTATTAATATATAATATATACATGTCTATGTATTTTGAAAACTTTTGGGTGAGAAACCCTCAATAAGGATGGTCTTAGGACCAAACAAAAAATCAGTAATGAGTTTTGCAATCATTTATTAAAAATAATTTATAAAATTTATAAGAAAATATTTTGATGTAGAAAAATTAGAATTGTATAATTATAAATATTTATAAATGATGTAAATTGATATTAATTAAATTTTAATTGTTTTCAATATAGAGGCGTGAAAATAGATTGTGTTATGAGAATCTTTGGTTTAGATTAGGTGACAAATCTTATAGTAATATTTATATTTTTAGGGTTAGATATTGGAATATTGATAATTTTAATAGAATTAGGTTTCCTAATCATTAAGTTTTCCAAGAAGTTTTCCAAAAAAATTTTTCTCATGTATTAGATTTTAAAAATGATTTATAAGTTTATAAAAATTATTTTGATAGGGAAAAAAACCTAATCATATAATTATAGACATTCCTAAATGACGTAAATTTAGGTTTACCAAAATTGAATGGTTTTCAACATAGATAAGTAAATGTAGATTGAGTCATGATATTCTTTGGTTTAGAGTTTTGTAATATATGTTATAGTATTGTTTGTATTCTTAAGGTAAGATTTTTAAATCATAACTTCAAAAAAAAAAAAGATAATTGATATATATGTATTTAGTTTTCTGTATATTCAACACTTTAAAATTTGATTTTAAGTGTAATGAAGTATTTGTTGTTATTTAGTTAGTTACTTTCTTTTAGGGTTTAGATGATTATTTGAGAAGTTTTTTAACAAATAATGCTTTAGAAAACTTCAGTGTAAGTCGCCTGGATGAATTGTAAATTTAGGGTCTAAAAGACTTTTTGAAAGACTTTCATGTAATTTCATATTAGGAGATATACATGAAAATCTTTTGTATCAAACATATTTAACCTAATTAGAATTTTTGTCTTTCTGTATAAAGATAATTTACACATTTTCTTTCTTTTTCTTAAATGGAGGCAACAAAAATTTAATATTTCTCACCCTAAAACTCTCTGATATCTCTCTATAATATTGGAACTTGATAACACCAAAGCTTATATAAGTTTTTCATTTGTTTATTAAGTGTTTTTCACTAATTTATCTTGTTTTTGCACGTTTTTATTACATGGTTTTCATATTTCACTCAGTTAGAAGTAGATCTATAAATTTTAGACATATATTTTTGTGTGTGTTTTATATGTTAAATTTTAATAGGTTGTAGATTCAACATAATATGACTGTTTTATTTATTATTTAAGCTTAAAATTAATTTTGTAAGTTTTATCTATTTTGATGTCATTTGAACATTTTTAGATATGTATTGTTTTTTTCACATTTAAGTCAGACTTTGGAAGACTTTCCAAGAAATTCTTCTAAACCGAAAATATTTCATCTAATTGAAATTTGTGTCCTTATATAAAAAATATCTACACATTTCTCTCTTTCTCTCAAATGGCTGCAACAAATATGCAATGTTTTCTCATTCTAAAACTCTTTAACCTCTCTCTAATCTCGTTGAATTTGAAAACACCAAACTTTTTATCAATATCTTATGACACATGTTTAATTATTTATCTCGTTTTTGCAAAATTTTCACTACATAGTTCTTATCTTTCACTCTTTTAAGATAGAACTATAAAT